ACAATGTGATTTACTCCAGAAGAAAAGGCCAAATTGGTGCTTATCCCCAAGCTGGTGCACCCTCTGGAAGGCTAATGGTGAAAGCTCCTACCACTTACTAATTTCTTGTACCTTTGTTTCTGATATATGGTAATGGTTTATCAGTTAATTGGATTGTAGGTGGACCCCTCCACCAGATATACAAAGCTTGTTTGCCACTTCTTTCCTTAAATGGCCTAAGAAAAGGGGTAGAGTTATGTGGAGGTGTGTGAGGGCTGCCATTTGCTGGACTATATGGGAAGAAAGGAACACTAGGACCTTTTCTGATAAGGAAAGGAACAAAGAAGGTATCATTGAGGTAATAATGGTTAGGGTGGTGCATTGGCTGAAGTCTGTAGATATGTTTGCTGATGTCTCTACAGATATGCCGCTGAATAGCTGGCTAGAAGTGGCAAATTCTGCTCCTTTTTCATCAGTTGCCTCTCCTTTGTGGTCCCCACTAGGCCCAGGGTGCATAAAAATGAGCTTTGATGGCAGTAGTGAAGGTAATCCTGGGCCCTCGGGTGTTGGTGGGGTGTTCAGAGATGAGAATAGAAAGGTGATTGCATTGTTTTCAGGCCCCATTGGGAATGGTGACTCTCTCAGAGCTGAGATATGTGCCTTAATGGAAGGCTTAATAAAGATAAAGGAGTTGAATATTCATAGACTGTGGAAATATGCAGATGAGAGAAGGGAGGCTAAATGGCTAACTAGGAGGTTGGAGGTTCAGTTTCAATGGGTGAAGAGGACTGCAAATGCTTTTGCAGATACATTGGCAAAACAAGGGGTGGGAAGGGAACATATGTTTTGGGCTGTACTGTAATCATATTTTCTCTTTCCTTTCTTGGGAGAGTTAAGCCTCTTTACCTCTTCCCGGAATGTTGTAATATTATTGTCCATTAATAAAATGATTTCTGTTATTGATAAAAAAAAATTCTTCCTATAGTTTTGCAAGGCCTACTGCGGCCAAGATTGAAGTCAGCTGCATAGCCTTGACTTTGATTCGAATATTCTCTCTTTACCCTCCAATGAAACAACCAGTCAGAGTCTTCTCAAGCCATCCTTGAACCCTCGTGGCTTGTCTCTCAAACTGGAACTGGTAATCTCTCACTGTGCTAATTTGTTTCAGTCTTGAGAGGGCTTCATCATAATCATCAAAGCCTGATGGTTCGGAGCGTATGGTGAGTGCTTTTGTGAAACCTTGCTAGGTGACCTAGGGGTGAGTTCTTTAGTACCATTGGTACTAGAGGATTGCTCTCCATCCAGATGGATGGAAGCAATCGGCGCTCTCTATGGTACTTGAAGGACCTTTCATCTTTCTAGATCCATGGGATGGGGTCCTCACTTGAATACATGGGGAAATCCAGCTTGGCAAACTGTTCGGTGAAGCTTCCTCCCTTCTTGTTGGTATTGTTGCTCAAACGTTCACCATCATTGGACTACCACGAAAGAAGATAGTCTCTCTCATTGGACTACCATGACTTTATGGATCTCATTCTCCATATGACTCATCCTCTCATCCATGGCATTAGATTGGGTGGTGGCCATCCCTTGAATCACTACTCTAATACCAAATAATAAGTTTGGACTGTTACTGAGCTTCTTCAAGGGAGCTTAACCTCCTGAAATGGATACAGTGGAAGGGGGAAGGGAGATGGGGAGAAGGAAGAGGAGAGAAGAGAGAGGAAAAGGGAAATTCGGTTGTTATTCTTCTGAGCAATTCATTACATAACAACCATTTTATAGTGGCTTCTCCTGATCATGATTGCTAGCTAGGCTGTTTGATGTGGCCTTCTAACATAGACAGATGAGCGTCACAAAAGGAACATAGCTGCAGCTTGCTGGATCATGGGCCTGAGCTGAATGAACTGGATCTGAAGGGCTAGGGTCCTGGCCTTAGAGATCTAGGAGGCCAAGGCTGGTGTGTAAGATTGATATTGAGAAGGCCTACGATCATGTCGAGTGGGTCTTCTTGGAGGAGGTTCAAAGGCTGATGGGCTTTGGGGGAAAATGGAGCAGTTGGATATATGCATGTGTGTTATTAGTTTCTTTTTCAATACTAATGAATGGAGTATCTTCATATTTGTTTTAAGCTTCCAGGTTATTGAGGCAGGGTGATCCTTTGTCCCCTCTGCTTTTTGTATTGGTAATGGAAACTCTCAATCTATTGATTAGTAATGGAGTGCAGTTTGGGCTAATTAAGGGTTTCAAAGTAGGGACTGATGGTCCTTGTATTTCTCATTTACAGTACGCATATGACACCTTAAGATTCTTGGATGCTTCAGTCGACCAAGTTCTTAGCTTGAGAGCTATTCTGGTCAAGTTCAAGATGTTGACAGGTTTAAAGGTGAACTTAGCAAAGAGTACTATTGTTGGAGTTGAGGAAGTTAGCAGTGAAGTTTTATGGAGTTGTGCTGTAGTATTTGAATGCCAAGTTGGAGAACTTCCTTTCCAGTATTTGGGGCTGCTGGTTGCGGCTAAGACCTCTGCACTGTCTATTTTGAGGCCAATCATTGAAAGAGTGGAGAAGAAGGTTGACAGGTGGAAGGCTAAGTATTTGTTGCTGAGGGGGCAGAATTGCTTTGGTGGGAAGTGTCCTTTCTAGTCTGCCAACATGCTACATCTCTCTCCTGAAAATTCCAGCTGAAGTGGCTAATACGATTGAAAGAATGCAGAGGGAGTTCTTATGGGAAGGGGTGGGGGGGATCTAAGAAGTTTCATCTTATCATTGGGACTTGGTATGCAGGCCAAAGAAGAGTGGGGGTTTGCGGATTAGAAGACTGAAGGTTTTCAATAGGGCTTTGCTGGGTAAATGGCTATGGAGGTTTGGCTTAGAGAAGGAGAAGGAATCTTTATGGAGGGGGTTGGTGATCGGTAAGTATGGGGTGGTTGGTTTGGATGGGAATCAAGAGAAGTATTGTCCTCTTTTGGAGTGAGTGTTTGGAAAGGAACCATGAAGTTTAACCAAGAATTTAAAAGTCTCACTTGCTTCTTAGTGGGGGATGGAGCTAGAATAAAGTTCTGGGAGGGGATGACTGGTGTGGAGTGGGTAGGTTGTGTGAGATTTGTCCAAGACTTTACAGGCTGGTTGATCATGATGCTCCCATTAGCCATTGTTATGAGATGAGGGGGGATAAGGTGATTTGGAGCCCTAAATTCAGGAGGCCCCTTTGGGATAGGGAGGTGGAGGAATGCCTTAGGCTGCTGGAAGTCTTGGAAAAGTCAAAGATATATAGTTCTTCAAGGGATGAGCTGTGGTGGAAGGAATGTAAGAATGGGAAATTCACGGTGAAGTCCTTCTATTTAGTTTTGATAAAGTATCAGTTGGGTGAAGATAGATGTAAAGGTGTGTGGGGTAATCCAGTCCCACCTAGGGTGGAAGCTTTCGCATGGTTGGTGGATATGGATGGTGTTCTTACCACTGTCCATTTTAAATCCAGAGGCTTTTGTTTGGCAAATATATGCCTTGTATGCAGGGAAAGTGAGGAAGCAGTTCTCCATTTGTTCTTCTCCTGCAGGTTAGTTAGTATGTGCCGGAGATATTACTCAACTCTGTTCGGCATGCAATTGTTTCTTCCTGGCTCTCCTGCTGAAATCTTTTCCAAGTGGCCGCCTTTTAGTGGTAATAAGAAAGCTAAAATAGTGGGAGTTAGAGAAAGAAACAGAGTGTTGGTCCATTTGGAGAGAAAGAAACAGGAGAGTGTTTGAAGATAATCAGTGGGAGAAGGGCTGTTACTGATTGGATGCTCATCTTATCTGAGTTTGCTCAAGTGTCTGTGTCAGATTTAGGGTGTAATTTTCTGTAATTGGTCTTTGGTGTCTTCTCAACACCAGTCTATATGTTTTGATGTTTTATTTAAATGAAAAATTTCTGTTATTATAAAAAAAGGGTCCTGGGCTTGGAGCTGCTTGTGATCTTGGATTCTAACATACTGCATGTATGCACATTAGTTTATTGCAAGCTTCCTTTTCATGAAAGATCATTTTTTGCATTTGACAGTATGAATATATTTCTTGGGGCCATTCTGTTCATAAGGAACATATTTCTTACAGCTTTGCTATCACGATGTTTGTTTTGGCTCCAGATAGAAGGAGCAAATGTCGTTTCCATATGGGACTAGCCCAATAGAATCTTTCTTTAGGCCCGGTTGCAATCCATCTTTTTGTTGTTATATTGGTGCTATTGTGATATAAGATACAGACACATTAGTACCTACATATCATGAGGGATTTTCATGCACTGGGCCGCCCATATTATGAGGGATTTGAATTTTGAACCAAGTTAGCTGTGGCTCCTTTGATTTGTCTACATGCCAGTTGTTACTAGTCTGCTAGCCTAGCAACACAGTGAAGCTGCATACCCTTTGACCCTTTGATTCAATTTTGGATCAAGTTGGCTGTGATCCATATTAATACCTGCATATATTTGAGTTCAGTATTTACCACCAAGTTTCACATTGAAACCAAGAGGCTAATCTTTAATTTCTTTTTTGGTGCATTACATAGATAAAGGGTGACCAAAGTTCATGTGAACTAATAATCCCAACTAGACATGTGGTTGACTGGTCCTATGTTGGCTCCAACAATGGTCATATACATGGCCAATCCTATATTATGTTCAATTTTCCAGTCTGATTACCATTTCAGTGGTCCTAACTGCCATGGGTTTGCTTGCTTATGAAGTCCTGTCAAATTTATGGCCAGTACTCTTTATTGGATGATCATGTCGTTAGGCTAGATAACTTTTGGGCTTTAGCCCTACCAATTTGGTAGGCTGTATCAGTGTTTTGTATGACTGTTATTACATCGAAATTTCTCCTTTGTACATATATTAGGTGGTCCTTTCCATGCACAATGTGTAATTTTGTATTTTCATGAACTTAGTGTTGTGCATATATGAGCCCTTTATCTTTATTTGCACGATGATTGATTTTTTTTTTTTTTTTAAATTGTACTACATAACCACTCAAATTCTTTTGCAGCCTTACATTGACTTGGCAAATAGTTATAGCAGTGGTAAAATTTCGGAATTAGAGAGCTGTGTTGAGACAAACAAAGAGAAATTTGAATCCGTGAGCCTTCTTCTATTTTACTCTGTTTTATATTTTCGGCAAGTCCTTTAACATTGAATTATGAGATCCTTGTTGAGACAAATTGGGAGTACCTTTAGTGACATTCCATTGGAAAATTTCTAGTGTTCTGGGAACAGAAAGGCTACTGTTTTCCTCTGAACCACAGACATCTTACTGCTGGAAATCTTCTCTTCATCTAAAATGCTTGGTTTTCTTCCCAGGACAACAACCTTGGATTAGTAAAGCAGGTTGTATCATCTTTATATAAGAGAAACATCCAGAGATTAACGCTGACATACTTGACTCTTTCACTTCAAGATATTGCCAACACAGTGCAACTGAATACTCCCAAGGAAGCAGAGATGCATGTTCTTCGGATGGTAAAGATTGGAACTTTGTTCCATGCTGACTTGTCATTTATTTTAGAGCTTTTCTGTTGAGCAAGATTTCTTGCTCTCAATCCTCAGATCCAAGATGGTGAAATATTTGCAACAATCAACCAGAAAGACGAGATGGTCAGCTTCCATGAGGATCCTGAGCAATATAAGACATGTGAGATGATAGAGCATATCGACTCATCAATTCAGAGGTATTTATTAGAGTTTGGCCTGCCTATTAGACTGATAACAGTCAAGGAAAAGAGAGAAGAGAGAGAGAGAGAGAGAGAGAGGAGAAGAGTAGAAGAGAGGACAAGGAGGAAAAGGTCTGGTTCGAATGAGAGAAAATCAACCCTCCCATTCGGCCAGATCTGTTTTATATTACTAAAAATATTGTGGAAAAGTCACATGTGCCCCTACTTAAGTTAGGGACATTAGATCTAACATAAACTTACACATCAGCACCTAACCATAAGCACAAAGACAGAAATACCCCTACATACTCGACACTAACACTCCCCCTCAAGCTGGAAAGTATATATCATATAATCCCAGCTTGTTACATATGTAGTCTACTCTACCCCGATTCAATCCTTTAGTAACACATATTTGCCCACTGGTTCCCCGTGTTGACATATGCAGTGTCTATCACTCCACTTAGCACCTTCTCTCTAACAAAGTGACAGTCAACCTCTATGTGCTTGGTTCTCTCATGAAACACCGGATTAGAGGAAATATGAACTACAACCTAATTGTCACAGTGGATCTTCATCGGAGTATCAACAGTGTATCCCATCTCCTGTAGAAGGTTCCTTAGCCACACTAATTCACAAGTAGTATGTGTCATAGCTCTATATTCTGCCTCTGCACTGCTTCTTGCTTTTCCATGTCACCAGATTATCCCCAAGAAAAGTGAAATAACCTGTGGTAGATCTCCTATCAGATACAGAACCGGCCTAATCAGCATCAGTATATCCTTCTATTTCAAGTTTTCCACCACTTGTATATATCAAACCATGACCAAGAGCCCCCTTTAAATACCTCACAATCCTTAGAACTGCATCCCAATGTGGAACCAGAGGTTTCTGCATGAACTGACTTACCACACTAACTGCGAATGAAATGTCTGGCCGAGTGATGGTTAGGTAGTTCAGTTTACCTACCAGCCACCGATATCTACCAGGGTCTTCAAACACTTCACCCATATCACTGCTCAGCTTAGTGTTTGTTTCCGTAGGTGTTTCAGTTGGTTTAACACCTAACAAACTTGTTTCTTCAAGCAAATCAAGAACATATTTCCTCTGACACAAGTTAATACCATGCTTAGACCTTGCTACTTCTATCCCCAACCAAGGTCCTTTGTCTGAAAATGTTCCTATAGAAAAGTCTTTAACCTGTTAATGCCCATTTTTTCATTTCCAGTAATGACAATATCTACATACACCACCAATAAGATCTTCCCTACCTGAGAGTCATGACTGAAGATTGAATGGTCAACTTGGCACTGTTTCATACCAAACTTCTTTAACACTTCACTAAATCTGCTAAACCATGTTCGAGGAGACTATTTAAGCCCATAAATGGCCTTCAGTAGTTGGCACACCTTACTATCCTCCCCCTGAGCAACAAACCCTAGTGGTTGCTCCATATAGACCTCCTCGAGCAGATCACCATGCAAGAAGGCATTCTTGATATCAAGCTGATAGAGGGGCCAATCATACATGACAGCAAGAGAAACCACAACACGGATTGAACCAATCATAGCAACCGGGGAGAAAGTCTCTGTGTAATCAATACCATAGGTTTGGGAATACCCTTTGGCAAACAGTCTAGCTTTCAATTGCTTTACACTACCATTAGGACTTAACTGTATAAACCCACTTACAACCAACAACCTGCTTACCGGGAGGAAGAGTGGTGAGTTCCCATGTATGATTATGGGCCAGAGCTGAGAGTTTTTCCATCGCAAGACACCATCTTGGAGAGGCAAGGGCTTCTTGGACATCCTTAGGGATGACAATAGAGGTTAACAAAGAGATAAACTAGTGATGGGAAGCGGAAAGGTGAATTAGTGAAAAATAATTAGAAGTAGAATGAAGGGTACAACTGCGTTTACCTTTCCGCACGGCAATGGGAAGATCAAGATCAGATACTAGGGTTGGTGCTAGTGTGGGAACAACTACTGGATCTGTTGACGATGATGGAGCTGGAGGAGGAGCCGATACATGTGGGCGATGTGTATACACGTGATGGATAGGTGATCGTTCAATAGGTGGTGGTACCGGAGGCAAGGACTTGGTCACAGCTGGAACAAGAGGAACATAATCCACAACTGGAAGAGGAAGGGGAGGAGGTGATGAAGAGGAAGAAATATCACCGGACCCCAAGAAAAGTGGAGTAGACTCAAAGAAGGTAACATCAACACACACAAAGGAATGTTGAGAGTTGGGATAATAACACTTATACCCTTTTTGAGTCCGAGAATAGCCAAGGAAGATGCACTTAATAGATCGTGCATCTAACTTGTCCTTTCCTGACCCCAGATTATGAACGAAGCAAATACACCTAAAAACCCGAGGAGAAAGAGGAAACGAAGACAAGATAGGAAACAATGTGGTGAATGGAGAATGACCATCAAGGATAGACGTGGGCATCTGGTTAATCAAGAAGCAAGAAGTAAGCATTGCATCACTCCAAAAAGATTTGGGGACATTCGTGTGATGCATGAAGGACCGAGCTGTTTCCAAAAGATGACGGTTCTTTCTCTCAGCCACCCCGTTTGTTGTGGGGTGTAGGTACACGAAGTCTGATGGATAATGCCATGTTGATCTAGGTATTCTTGAAATGATGAAGAGAAATATTCACGGCCATTATCGAAACGAAAAATTTTAATGTGAACACCAAATTGGTTGCGAATCTCAGCAYAAMAYTTTTGGAAAATGGTAAACAATTCACTTCTTTCTTTCATTAAATAGAGCCACGTCATCCTTGAATAATCATCAACAAAAATGACAAAATATTTATATCCATTTTATGACATTACTTTATAAGGACCCCAAACATCTGAACGAACCAAAGAAAAATGACTCGACATATGGTTATCAACTCTAGGACTAAAGGGAACACGATGATGTTTCCCCAATTGACATGACTCACAATCCAAAACAGACAGATGACTCAATGAAGGAACCAAAAACTTCAAAACTTTCAGTGAAGGATGACCAAATCTACAGTGCCATTGGAGAGGAGAAAGAGACGATTACAGAGTTGTTGACGTACTTCCACCACCATCAAGATAATATAATCCATCAGCTTCATGCCCTCCATCAATCTTCATCCCCGTCTTGAGATCTTGTAAAACACACGAAGAGGGGTAAAAGGTAGTGGAGCAATTAAGAGACTTGGTCAACTTACTGACATAAGATTAAAAGGAAATTTAGGGACATACAAAACTGAGGATAAGGTTAAAGGGTTCATGTTAACATTACCAACACCACAAATGGAAGATGTGGAACCATTAGCAAGGGTAACAGATTGTGATGTTGGGCAATGAGAGATGGAAGAAAACACACCTGGAGTTCCAATCATGTGATTGGAGGCTCCAGAATCAATAATCCAGGGATTGGGTGTGGATGCCAAACAAACTATACCTGAGTGTGCGAGAGTGGCCGTGTTTTGCTGAGATGTGGCCTGAACAAACCTCTCATACTCATCACGGGGAACACTCATCATCTCCTTCCCAGTAACATCTGTGGATGTAGAAGATATCTGGTCAGCTGAATGACTCTCCTGTCTGAAGCTATTGTCACTAGTCACGGCATGATTGGCCCAAGTTGAGGGTGGACCATGCAAGCCATAGCAGTAATTAATGGTATGTCCATCCATACCACAGTGTGTACACCTCCTCGGACCCGAACTACATCCTCTGCCATGGGCTCCCCTTGAATCTCGACCTCCAGTACGACCACCACCATGGTTATATGTAGGTCCACTACCACTACTCCAGCCATATGCCAGTCCACTGTTGCCATTATGGCCAGACTGAGCTCCTCGAGCTCCACCTCTAACACCACGGCCTCTGGATACTGCAAAGGCTGATCTATCGGAAACTTTAGGGTTCTCGGTAGATCCAATGGAAATCCTCCTAAGTCAAGAAAACACCTCTTCTAAGGAAGGGAGAGTTGACCCTCCTAGTATCTGAGCCCGCACTAGTTCATACTCAGATTTCAGCCCCACCAAAAATTGAGTCACATCAAGTTGTTCCCTCTGTTGTTGCTGAATTTTGACATCAAAAGTGAGGGGTGATAAACATTCAATTCATTACGAGTGTTTCTCATACTAGCATAGTACTCCTCAAGACTCTGATTACCCTGTTGTAGATTAAAGTATTCCTGATACAACTGATATACTTTGGTTGTATTGTCTTGGCCCGAATACAGTTTCTTAGCATGGTCCCACACTTCTTTGGCAGTATCAAGAAACATGAAATTTACACTAATCTTGGGTTCCATACTATTCCATAACTATGTGATAATCTGTGCATTTGCTTGCTCCCAATCATCATACTCATGAGAATCGGTGGAGGGTTTTTCGTCCCTTGTGTGTTTCACCTCCTTCTTTGCCTTGAGAAAAGACTTCTACAGATTTAGCCCAAGGTACAGAATTTTCTCCATTCAGCTTAATGGAGGTCATTTGAACATTCAGGTAGTCAGTAGGAACCATCACACTAGTCTTGCTTTCACTACTATCTCCCATTGCTGAATTCTGGTATTGCTGAATTCGTCACACTAGACCACACTACACACTGATTTCAGCACTTACTATTGCTGTAAACTGCACTCTTTACACCACAATCCCTACCTCACGACTACTTGAAACTTCAGCACACTGTTTGAGGAACACTTCCCCTTCGAATCACACTGAAAACTGCACAAACCCTAGCACACTACAATCTAAAATCCCACCATACCGTCTGAAACAGACTTATCATTTAATTCACACCAAGAAAATGCATAGAACCTCTTACCTGATCACCCGAAAATCAGACCACACAAAGCATCCACTGCACCACATGAATCAGCCCTCTTCTCTTCATCGATTAGGGGAGGGCTTCTTAGAAATCGCAGCAACTAACCACGAACACCATAACCGGAGGCATAGAAACCTCCAAGGGAAGAGGGCGATCACTCCTTTTCAGCCCTTTCCCTTATCTCCAACTGATGGCGAAGAAAGCAAGAGAAAACCCTAGACTGGGTGCACAGAGAACAGAATTCTGGGCAGATCCGGTTTGCTCAGTTTAGCTCTGATACCATATTAGAGTTCAGCCTGCCTATTAGACTGATAACAGTTAAGGAAAAGAGAGAGGAGAGAGAGAGAAAGGAGAAGAGTAGAAGAGAGGACAAGGAGGAAAAGGTCTGGTTCGAATGAGAGAAAAATCAACCCTCCCATTCCGCCGGATCTGTTTTATATTACTAAAATATTGTGAAAAAGTCACATGTGCCCCTACTTAAATTAGGGACATTAGATCTTACATAAACTTACACATCAGCACCTAACCATAAGCACAAAGACAGAAATACCCCTACATACTCGACACTAACAGTATTCAATCCTGCAAACATTAATAAGCTGGCTCATGAATCTTCTGTTAGTTTAAGCAGTACACTGAAATCATATGTTCTGGGTTGTTATGGCTCAGTGTGCAATAATTGTTTTTCCTTATTTTTTCTTTATATTTGTATTTTGTACATGTGTTTGTTTTGGGGCAGAGTGGTGCACTCAGAGGATGCCATCCATGAAATCTCTTTGACAAATCAATATAATCAGAAGAGAACTGGATTAAAGTATGTCTAGCAGCTGAAAGTACCTATAAAGGGATCAATGACTTCACCTTTTTCTCAGGATAATGTCATTGTCCAAGAAGCTGAGTGCTGTAGATGAACTCATTTCATATGATCCTGCTTATCTGGCAAAGGTATGTCCCATCATGAATTTTCTTTCCTTGCCAATTCTGTAATGACTTGCATTCCTTGCTGCTAATCAAATTTTGCTTGCGTCCAGGCTGGGAAGGAGCGGCAGAGATTCGATTTTGACGACTTTGATACTGTCCCTCAGAAATTCAACTTGTAATGTGAACTGAATGGCAACACATATTGTGGAGATTACTCTGTATGTAAAGCCCACAGAAGGAACAGAAAAAGAATGCCGAATGATCCAGGCAATGATGTTGATAACCAAGTTAATAATGGTCTCTTGGGGTATATTATGTTAAAAGGGGCTGCCGAAGTTCTTATTTTATCTGAAGCTTTTTTCCATGTTGGGATTGCGGCCATGTTGATGAGAAAAGAGAGGTCTTGTGTTTAAGACCCTGGTTCTGTTCAAAGCGTCACTTTCTTCAATTTTGTATTTGGACCTTGTATAGATTTATGAACTATTTTGTTTGAGCAATCTGCTTGTGTAGTGAAAAAGTGGGTTTTATCAGAACCCCCCTTCTGGCCCTACCAAGATCTTCATGGTCAGGATCAATATCGAGCAATAGCCATTTAGCTTAGGCATTCTAACACGAGGATTAAGGGGTTAGGTTCTGATCCATGTCATGGAATGCTAGCGGTGAGCTATAGCCATTTAGCTTCGGCTCAAGTACCATAATGCGATTACGCAAGAGGCAAGAGAATACAAAGAAATATAGCCAAATCCGTCTGAATGACAGCAAAAAGAGAAAGAAAACTTAGATGATAATCTTTTATCCCTCTCTCTCTTTGCAAAGCATATGCCATTCCTGCAGCACTGCTGCCTGAAGTGCATGTTGTTCAGCCTCCTCAGCTGTCAACTTTGAAAGGGTTGAAGGACCCTTGGATTTACCATCTTCTTCACCATTTTCCTTCCTTTTCTCTTTCCTTTCTTTTTTTTCTTCTTCTGCTTCCTCTTCCTCTTCTTCTGTAGGTTTTGTAGGTTGAGGTGGTGGTTGGGCTGCTTTGAGCAATGCAATTCGTTCCATTGAGATCCTTAGCCTCTCCACAGCAGCTAACTTCACTTCATCTTCGGGCATGTATTCGACACCCTCATCTGTAATGTCATCTAACCATCCCTGCAAATCTGATCCAATTTCCTTTGTGATTGATGCATCAGAGGCTCGGACTACAAATTTGCACATCATGATTGTTGTCTCATCTCCCAGATCAACATTTCTTCTCACTTCACTGGCACCAAAGATCATCATGCCAATAAAACCCCCATACCAAGTTTTTGCAGCAAAGCATAGCTGTTCGAGAAATGAGAAGACAATAACAATGAACCAAAGTTGAATTAACATCAAGTCTGGGGCTACAAAGATCAAAAGTCAAAAACACCCATAGCAGGATATCAACATGAAGAAAGAAGAGGATAAACCTACTTGAAAACCAGCCACTGTTCGGAAAATGTGAGAACAAACCCTATGGAAAGGCTTTGAAGAAAGAGATTTCAAACCACTCAGAAATGGAGAAGCTCCATATTGCTGTGCAGCAGTAGCTTTGAAACCACTCCCTTCATAGGTATATGCACCTGAGTACTCCAGAATAGCAGGTAAACTAGGCCATAGGCGGAAGTATTCAACAGGTGAGATTTTATGGGGCAAAAGAACCTCAGTTAATGGTATCTTGTAAGGTTGACACCTCAAGACTACAGGTTCTCCAAATTCTGTTCTTGAGCTCCATTTTTGTCTCATGAATTGAGGATCATCTTCAGTATAATCACCGTTACCATAATCCCCTCGGGCACTAATTCCGTGGAAGGGGTAGTACAATACTTGAACCCAAAGGGCACACCTCTCAAAGTTGGAGACACCAACAGTCACACTGCAAAATACTGGATCCTAGGAAGACATCACAGCAAGTAAATGGACCATCAAACCTCATTGTACAAGTTATTTTCAGAAATTTATGTACACTTTTAGGAACTTTCAAAATAAAATCTATACAAATTGGTGCTGAAATAGAACCTGTGATACAAGGTTACACAACTGCCGCACTGCTTGAGGAGATCCGTCCATGAAATATAGTGCACCAGATATGCCAACCCGTATGTCCACTCTATTAAGTTCTAGTTCTGTCAGATTTAAAACCTGCAAAGTGTCTACTGATAAGCATATGCCATGCAGTTCATCCAACTAAATACTTCATCACCCAATAAATCAAATACCAATCCTAAAAGATAAGTTTAAACAATCACTTTACAACTAAATACTTCATCACCCAATAGAGAGGTAGTCAGATTAATTATCTTAATTTTAATCATACCCTGGCAGGAGGTAGAGAAGTTGTAACAGACATGGACATCTTGGCAGAGGAGTTATTGTAACAGACAAGAAATACTTTTTTAGTTTCATGCCTATTCCCATTCAAGTTCTGTTTTTTTCTGAATTATTTTTTAATTTCAAGTTTTCTGGAAATCTTTTAGGAGTTTCATGTCTCTTCTTTTCTTAAGTCTTTCTTTTGTTTTCGTATTGCCAGAACCTTCTGTTATTATTATACAGGCAGGCCAGATGTAGTTCACCTTTTATACCAATGATGATGCCTCTTGAATGCACATCCTATCTTTGGAGAGTAATTGTGAGTCTACATGTGTCCACAAGTTTACTTGCAGAGAACTCATCAAAATACATTTCTGATTCAGTTATTGTATGAATCAGGCAAATTTACCAAAATACCCACTGGGTCAACTTAGCCAAAATTACAAATCCTCATTGTAGCATAAGGTGATTGTGAGCATTCATGGATCTATCGGCTCTTACTCTTGTGCTCCTTTCTTTAAAAACCTAACTCAGCAACCTACCTCCCTTGGCATGTCTTTCCCTGTTAAAGAGATATGGTGCAAACCTATCCCTCCTCGGGTTGGGAGTCCTTCCTGGAAAGAATCAACACTTGTGATCTTCTCCAGAAAAAAAAGACCCAAGACTTGTTTATCCCCGCACAGGTGTATTCTTTGCAAAGCAGATGGGGAGAATGGGTACCACTAATTAGTGTCTTTCCATTATGCAAAAGCTGTTTGGGATTGGGCTTTATCCCTTTTTGGGTGTAGTTGGAACCCTCCTTTGAATGTACGAAGTTTGTTTTCTCCATCTTTCTTCAGCTGGCCAGTAAAAAGAGGAAGGATAATGTGGAAGAGTATAAGGGCAGCTGTGTGTTGGTCTTTGTGGGAAGAAAGAAAGTCCAGATTATTTTTAGATAAGGAGAGGAATGCGGAGAACTTAACAGAGTTGATCCACATAAGGGTAACACATTGGTTGAAATCCCTGAACCTGTTTTCAAACTTTACTGTGGATGATTTGTTGAGAAGATGGAAAGAAATTGCAAGTTCTTCCCAGGTTAAAAGGGTCATAAATCCTTCTTGGATTCCCCCTCCTGCTGGTTATATAAAGCTGAATTTTGATGGCAGTAGCATGGGAAATCCAGGGCTGTCAGGTATAGGGGGAATTTTCAGAAATGAGGAAGGGAATGCCTTAGCCCTTTTCTCTGGCCCAATTGGTGAGGGTGACTCTCTTAGGGCTGAGATTTTAGCAGCTTTGGAAGGGATTCAAAGGTCAAGAGAATTGAATAATAGGGGACTGATTATTGAAGGTGATCCGGGGGTAGTGGTAAATTGGTTAAAGGAAGATAAGATAGGAATGTGGAAATACAACAATGAGAGGAAAAAGTTCAACTGGTTGGAAAAGGATGTTGAGATAAAGTACAGCTGGGTGAAAAGAACTGCAAATTCCTTCGCCAATGGGCTAGCTAAGCAAGGGGTGAATAGGGATTCTTTGTTTTGGGCTTATTTCTAACTCTGTACTTTTTCTTTTCCTTGTTTTGGGGGAGTTAAGATAGTTTACCTCCCTCCGCTTTTCTGTAACTTATTCTTAATTGAATTCAACAAAGATTTCTGTTATTGATAAAAAAAAAATGGTTGGATGCAAAGCTATCCCCAGAGACTTATCTTGCTTCTCCTCGGAAATCTATTCATAACATCCTTTCTGTTAGCGTAGGGGTATTTCTGTCTTTATACCTTGATTAATGTTGCTGATCTGTAATGTTGTATTGGAACAAGTGCTCTTAACTTAAGTAAGGGCACATAGGTCTTTTCAGTTATGTTTTAATAATAATATAAATGCTTACTGGCCGACTAGGAGAAGTCAAGTTGACTCTTTCAGTTCGAACCAGAATTCTCTCTTTCTCTCTCTCTCTCTCTCTCTCTCTCTCTCTCTCTATCTATCTATGTATCACCTTTTCTTCTTCTACATAACTGAACTCAGTCAGGCCGAACTCTAAGGCAGACCTGAATTCTATCACTTTCTTTCTCTTTACTCTCTTTAGCCAAATGTTGGGTTCATTCTACTTCTAGGTTGGCCTAGGATCTGGGGTTCAGGAGGGGCCTTAGGGAGTGTGAGTTTTCTTTCTTATTGGATTTACTTAATCTGTTAAACTCAGTTAAATCGGCTCAGTTCTGGTTTGATATAGGATTTGGCCATCTTCCTATTATGATCTGTTCTCTCATGCTTCCTATGATCTTCTTGTTGATTCCCAAGGCCCAGTGGGTTCATTCCCTGTGAAAGAAGTGTGTTTTAACCCTGTTTCCCCTAAAATCAAGGTTTTTTTTTTTGTTGGGAAGAGACTCTTGGGAAGATCAACACTTACGACATGCTCCAGTAGAGAAGGCACTATTGCAATCTCTCACCCCATACTGTCTACTCTGTAAAGCCAATGGTGAAACTACTCCACACTTATAATCTCTTGTTTATTTGTGTCTTGTGTTTGGGAGCATTTTTTCTCTCTTCGGATGCAGGTGGGAACCTCCTCAGGACATGATGGGTTTGTTTACCATTGGCTTCAATTGTCTACCAAGGAGAAGAGGCAAAATAATGTGGAGAGCCACTAGAGCTGTTATCGTATGGAGAATCTGAGAGGAAAGAAATAACAGATTTTTAATGAGCAATATAGGTCTTTGAAGACTATCATTGAGAACATTACTTTAAAGGTAATTCATTTGGTGAAGACTTAGATTAATTGATTAGAGGTTGGGAAGTGGTGGCATATTCTTCTACCTTGAAGCCAAGTTATAAGGAGCAATGGGTTCCTCCTAGCAGTAACAGGGTGCAACTAACTTTGAAGGCAGATCATGTGGTAATCTGAGTCCCTTAGGAATTGGAGGAGTCTTTAGGGATGGAAATGGTTCTATAGTATAACTTTTTTCAGGGCCTATTGGTTATGGAGACTCTGTAACAGTGAGATCAGCAGAAATCTCACTGCAAAGATTGATTTCCAAGAAGCTAAACCTAAGGCAGGTGGAGGTTGAAGGTATACCTCTAATGCGGGCTGTGCCATGCTGACACAACACGGATTATAGGTGGCCCGGATGCCATCCGTGCAGGGCCTCAGGCCTTGGCGGGCACAACATGGTCCTCCTCCGAGGTTAGGTTGGGCATGGTTAGTGGCCTAGTTCCCATCCGTGTTGGGCTGGGCCTGAGGAACCGGGCCATGGCAGGCTGGGCCTACTTTATTTCTTTTCCGGTTTTCCACTTTTCCTAAACTAAGAAAAATTAGAAAAAAATAACATATAATAGCAGAAAATTAACATGAGTAAACAATAAGTTAGAAAAAATTGTCATTTCAAATCTAATTTGTACAAAAAAAATACATTGAAAAAATAATACAATGAAGTTTATCATTCAAGCTACTCTCCTCCTCTTCCTTGTTTCAGGTGAGATGCCATGTGTCTAAACAAATGGTCATTGCTATGGCAATGGAAATCATGTATGCATTTTTTGCAAACTGCTCTTCTTCCCTTTCTAGGGATTTTCACAATCTCAAACATAGTCCAGACTCCGCTCCTTCTGCTACTAGAGCGGGACCTGGTATTATTGGATTGGGCTTCATCAACAAAAGGAAAAGGATTTTAAGAAGAGTTGGCCATTGTAGAGAGTTGTGATGAGAAAGTGGGGGGGTAGGGGTATTTATAGGAATTGGGGGATAAATTTGACCAAAATACCCTCCAAAATTAGTTGTTTATGGCTGTTGGGAGGGGTATTTTGGTCATTTTAGGCCTTATGTTATTTGACTTAAATACCCCCAAAGGACCTAAATTGGCTGTTGTATAGATGTTAGGGCCTTAGGGGGCATTTAAGTCATTTTTTGCCCCCCATGATCCAAAATACATAAATACCCCTTGTGGCAGTTTATAGCTGCTGGGGGTACTTTAGTCAAAATACCCCAAAAAAAAACAAATATAGTTGTTGCCCCCCTCCAACAGCTATATTCTCGCGGGCCGCACACGTGCGCATGCGTGCCATGCTGTGACAGGCCTTGGAGGCCTGGATTCCTGTGTCATGCCAGGCACAACCCCTATTGTGTTGGGCCATGCTGGCCCGCCATCGGCCCAGCCCACATTACAGCTCTAGTTGAAGGTGACTCTTTGTTAGTGGTGGGTTGGTTAAAAACAACAGTCAGGGAAGATGGGTGTATAGACAAGAATTAAGAGAAACCAGAAAGCATGCATATGAAGTTGGAGCCTCTTTCAAATGGGTTAAAATGTCAGAAAATGGTTTGGCTGATGCGTTAGCCAAACAAAGGGTATAATATGCAGTAAGATTAATGTGTTTGCAAGAAACAGCCAACAGGACTCAGAAAAGCATCCATTATGACTCTGAGAATAACAAGAACCCAGGAAGGGTGTAGACCAAGTAGAGTTCATGTATATTTGTGTTTACCCTTACCAAGTAGTCTGTTGATCATCTAACCCACCCTGTGGGCTAGAGAAGTCAAAGCAATGCATAACATTCAGTAAGTTTAATGTGTGTGAAAATGACAGCCTATAGGACTTAGAAAAGCATCCATGATAGTTTTGTCAAGAATAAAAATTAGAAAAGCATCCATGATAGTTTTGTCAAGAATAAAAACTTACCTTAAGGTGCAATGTGATCCTTCCATCATTTGAATCTGCCAAATGATACGCTTCAACATAGCAAGGATCACTACTACCGGTCAAAGTATATGCAGTTGGAGGAACTTTGAGGAATGTAGAGTCAATGCCCTTTGTCAATAGAAGAGTTAATTCACTAGGATCTGGCCTCCAAAGCTCCTGAATGGCTTTATGAACCAGTCCTTCCAACTTCCTGTCCTGAGCTGCAGAAGCTTCATAAAACTGAGCAGTGAGTTTGTGGTGGCTGAATGGATAATCTCCCCTGGCTTCACTAACTCCAGCCCACCTGAAAATGATACATGATTAACCACAAATACAAAGAACTATGGATTTATTCCAAAAGATATTAAGCATAGAATATATAATGATAGCAAATATTTTATCATCTGCAGCATCAAGTGTTTCGGGTAATTACAGGTTAAAAAACCACAGAGATGATTTTTATAGTAAATAAAACACGTACATATTCCTACGGTAAAACAATACAAAGCTAGGCAACATATGTGTGGTTTCTTGAAAGCAATTTGAGAGCCCTCTCATACTTAACATGCCTCCTTCATGATCCCTCTTTGAAATAACAGTTTGTTCTCCTCATCTTCCAATTCCTTACCCATTGCAATGAAAACCTCTGTGCATCCTTGTCACAATCTTTTGGGATTTCTCCCGATTTTTATGCTTCATATCTGTATCACTAGATTTTCCTCCAACCCGTTTCTTCTCCAACTTTTTTCACAGAAAAATTATCGGTGATAGAGGTGGAGATGAAATAGAAGGCAAAACATTTTTATTAAGGTGTAGAAAGAAATACATAAAATTCCCAATCTCACATTCCCATGCAGTTGTGTTGGGTTTACAAGCATTAGAATTTTTAGAGCTAGAACTCCTAGTGTATATTTAATTTCACTAGGCATTATTTGTTACTAATTAGGCAGCTAGTACAAATGGACATAACCATAAAGAGAACCTTGATTCTAATATTTTATTTCCTAATTAAACATTATATAAGCATATGAGATAAGGATGTTTCTTGTCCATATTCATGCTTATTAATTAGATACGTTGTTCACATTGTTAATTTGTTACTGTACACTCTTGTTAGCAAATTATAGTTGAAAAATAATGGAGCTACTCAACATAATCCGGAACTATTTAACCTAGTTGCTTCACAATTTGCTCCAAGTTTCATGAAATTGACACAAATTCTTCCAGATGGCTGTAGTTAGAAAAGAAGTGCCAATTATATCTGTAGAGATTAAGATAGTCTCCCTAAATGGATTTTATGAATTGTTTTTTTTTTTCGGTTGGTAAGAATTTTTATGAAATCTCATTTTATAACGAGTCTAAGTCATTCAAAATACTTCCAGAGAGATGAAGATAGTGGCTCATACTTGGAAGTTGTAGAAATAGTTAGTAAGCCACGGGTGTGGGGTTCCATACCCACACTTAGGCTCTAGTATGTGTGGTTCCATACCCACATCTAGTTGTTTTTAATTCCTTTTAAAATTGGGCCGGCTGGCCTTATCCTTATTCATATTATGTTTATCCTTTTTATGTTTTGTTTTATTATTAGGACTAGGATTGTTTGTTTTATCTCCTATTCTTGTAAGGAACCAAAACTACAAATAATAAAGTGTATGGGGCGGCAGATATTATCAACTGAACCCCTTTCTTCTCTTTTCTCCTCTCTTCCCTTCTCTTCTTCTTCTCCTCTACTCTTCTTTTCTTTTCTTCTCTTTTCTGAATTACAGTAGAACAGAAATCTACTTGCTTTATTCAAGTTGGAATCAAAGCAATTGGCGAGAAAAACTAGGTTTTTCATGTAAGCCTGATCTTGTCGGCTACATGAGAATCCATTAAATCAAGACTTCTACAGAAGTTGCCTGGTTCTTGGAGGTTACTGGAGTGCTGAAAACTGCCGAAGAAAGATTCTTGGAGAATTACCCGGTGACCAGGAAGAATCAGAGATCAGATTCAATCAAGGTTAGGGTTTCAAACCTAAGTGGACAATCAGAATTCTTTTTCTGAGAAAGAATTCAGGTTCGATCAAGGTTAGGGTTTCAAACCTAAGTGGACGATCAGGGTTTCAAACCAAAGAGTTCTTTTTTTCTGAGAAAGGTACATTTAAGCTAATTCGACCTTAGATAGAAGTTATCAAGAATTCTTTTTAGCAGCAACATAATAAATCTGAGAATAACTTGCTGTTTTTCAATATCTGAGAATACCTTGCTGTTGTCTCCTTGTCATTAAACCCTTCGATCTCTTTTTGAGGAATCAAGATCTGTTCTTTACTGATATTAATTTAGGGCTCTGATTTTTACTGAAGTTACAGTTTTGAGAAGAAACTGTCGACTGAAATTAAGTTCTAGGCACCTATTCTTTGCTGAGATCAATTTCTGGATTGCTTTTCTCTTTCTCTTTTAGTATTTCAGCAAAAAAAATAAGTCTTTCTTCTTGGAGTTTTGTGACCTATTTGCAATCTACATAGTATGGAAAAGGTTGGAAGTGAGGTGAAAACACAAGGGGAAGGTTTTGGGACTGGTAACATGACTGAAAATTCGTTCTAGATTACCATTGTTAGGTTTGATGGAACAAATTACTTGGAGTGGGCCCAATCGGCAATGATGGCCATTAGGGGTAGAGGGAAATTAGGGTATGTAACCGGAGACACAAAAGAACCAGCCAAGGAGGATATATCTCATCCAAGATGGGTTCAAGAGAACTACTTGGTGATGATGACCTGGCTATGCAACTCTATACAGCCCCACATCAGCCAAAACTATCTCGGGGCAAAAACAGCCAAGGAGATTTGAGACAGCATGAAGGAAACCTATTCCCAACCCCTCAATGTTGCTAGAGCTTATGAGCTGAAATGTGAGGTGAAAAACCTCAAGCAAGGAGATCAAGAGAACTACTTGGTGATGACCTGGCTATGCAACTCTATACAGCCCCACATCAGCCAAAACTATCTCTGGGCAAAAACAGCCAAGGAGATTTGGGACAGCATGAAGGAAACTTATTCCCAACCCCTCAATGTTGCTAGAGATTATGAGCTGAAATGTGAGGTGAAAAACCTCAAGCAAGGAGAGAAGCCAGTCTCAGTATATTTTGCTACTCTAAAATCCCTTTGGTATGAAATTGATCACTTGGAAACTATTGAATGGGAAAACCAGAAGGATGCAGCAACATACAGAAAACTGATTGAAACAAATAGGGTTTTTGAGTTCTTAGCCGGTCTAAACTCAGATTTTGATATTACAAGACAGCAACTTCTCACTAGGGAGAGCGTGACTCTATCTCAGGCCTACTCATTAGTCCATAGTGAAGAGTATGAGGAAGGTAATGCTATCTTTTCAACCCATAGAAGCAGCCTTGGCAGCAACAAAATTCAAGGCTAGAGGGGAAAAGGAAAGGGAAGTTAAGATGGAGGACAAAAGAGATATTTTTTGTGATCATTGCAAGAAGCCCAAACACACTAGGGACACCTGTTGGAAGTTGCATCATCATCTAATGCCAGCTAGACTTAGAAACAAGAAGGAAAGTGCTAATACAACAACTACTACTAACAATACATCCTCTTCCAGCAAAAGGACCAATCCTTAGATGCCTTAGCAATTGTCTGGGCTGCACTGACACAACTAGAAAAAGAAGTTGGCATTTCTGGATCTACATCTCAGTCTTCAGCTATTACACCTGCTCAGCCTATTTCAGCCCTTGCTCATACAAGTACAAGAGCTACTGCATGTCATGCTTCTGTCCCATGTAATACTAGATCTTTTTGGTTAATAGATTTAGGTGCTTCAGACCATATGACCAGCTTGTCTACTTTGTTTAGCACCTATTGTTTATCCTCTGGGAGAGACAAAGTTTCTATTACTGATGGCTCCCTTGTACCAATTTCTGGCAAGGGAGACATCAAATTGTCTGATGCCATCACCCTATCCTTAGTTTTGCATGTTCCCAAGCTTAGTGCTAACTTACTTTTAGTTAGTAGTATTACTAAAAATCAAAACTGTTCAGTAACCCCTTTCCCTGATTGGTGTGTTTTATAGGATCTGGAAACAAAGAAGGTGATTGGGATTGGCCGTGAGATGAATGGAGTCTACCTACTTGAACATTCACAGGGGGAGCAGAGTGAAGTAGGGAAATTGTTTGTCTCTCAGTCTTGTAGTAAGATTATGCTTTGGCACAACCACTTAGGTCATTTATCTTTTGAGTCTTTGAAAAGTCTTTTTTCAAAACTTATTTGAGTCAGTAGAAGTGTCTAGTTTAAAGTGTGAAAATCGTGAGCTTGCAAAACAAAGTAGATCATCTTATCCTTTGAGTAATAAAAAAAGCAACATTCCTTTTGAAATTGTGCACACCGATGTTTGAGGGCCATATCATACTCCCGCCATGGGGGGTACAGATATTTCTTATTATTTGTTGATGATTATACCCGTTTTTCATGGGTCTACCTTATGCACTCTCAAGATGAGGTCCCTTCTCTAACCCAGGCTTTCCATCAGATGGTTCTAACCTAGTTTGAAACCAAGATTAAAACTCTTAGATTTGATAACGCCAAGGAATACTTTGCAAAACCCTTGGCATCCTATCTCATTGATCATGGGGTCATTCATCAAAGAACCTGTCCTCGTACACCTCAGCAAAACGGAGTTGCTGAGAGAAAAAACAGGCATATCTTAGAGGTAGCCAAAAGCATCATGCTCAACTCTAATGTTCCCATACGCTTTTGGGGGGATGCAATCCATACAGCCGTGTACCTTATTAACAAGGTTCCTTCACGAGTTCTAAACATGCAAACCCTGTTCAGTCTCTGGTATCCAAACAAGGACCTATTCACTATTCCCCTCAAAACTTTTGGGTGTACTTGTTTTGTTCAAATCCTTGGACCTCATCGCTCCAAATTTGATCCCAAAGCTACTAAATGTATTTTCCTTGGGTATGCACAAAATCAAAAGGGATATTGTTGTTATGAGCCTGTTTCAGGGAAGCATTTTGTGTCCATGGATGTCACTTTTTTTTAGGATATGCCCTACTATCATAGGGCTTCTCCTCAAGAGGAGAACAGTGGAAGGGATTTCAGTTTCAGCCCCAAAAGTTCCTTTACCTATCCCAGTTACTGAGGGGGAGAGTTGTGAGGAGGGTTGTCAAAAATGCAAAGAGTTGAGGGTGTATCATAGAAAGTGGTGGAGGCAAGTTGATTCTCATTTTCAACAGCAATCCAGGTCAATTCCAACATCTTCTACAGCCCCAAATCCAGACACTACTACTTCTCCCACTATTGATCCCATTATTATAGATGTTCAGCCTCCACTGTCAGATGACCTTGATCTTCCAATTGCTATTCGTAAAGGGAAGCGTCGTTGCACCTCATCCACTGCCGATTGCATCTCCAAGTTCCTTTCCTATAATTGTCTCTCAGAATCCTACAGATCTTACTTGGCATCTATTGCTGCTATTCCTATACCCAGAAAAGTACAAGAAGCCCTTTTGATACAAAAATGGAAGGAACCAATGCAAGTAGAGATGGATGCCCTTTTTAAGAACATGGGAACTAGTTAACCAGCCTGAAGAGAAGAAACATATTGGATGAAGATGGGTGTTTTCTATGAAATATAATGCTAATGGTACTGTACAGAGGTATAAGGCCAGATTGGTTGCAAAGGGATTCACACAAACTTATGGCATAGACTATACAGAAACCTTTGCACCTGTAGCAAAAATGAACACTATCAGAGTTCTTCTATCCATTTCTGCAAACTTCTCATGGCCACTATTTCAGTTGGATGTTAAGAGTGCCTTCCTCAATGGAGACTTGCAAGAGGAAGTATACATGGAGTTACCCCCTGGCTTTTATAATACAGAAGCAGGAAAGAAAGTTTGCCTTTTGAAAAAGGCCTTGTACGGGCTGAAACAATCTCTGAGAGCTTGGTTTGATAGGTTTAGAATGGCTTTGGACAAATTCGGATACATACAGGCTCAGTCAGATCACACTCTTTCCTTTAAGAAGATAGGTCGTTCCCTGACTCTACTTGCAGTCTATGTAGATGACATTGTGATAACAAGGAGTGACATTAGTGAAATTGAAACTCTTAAACAACATCTTCACAAGGAGTTTGGAGTGAAAGACCTAGGGATATTACACTATTTCCTAGGAATTGAGGTAGCTCGATCTAAGCATGGCATTTTTATCTCTCAAAGGAAGTATGTTCTGGACTTATTGGAAGAAACTAGAAAGTTAGGAGTAAAACCTACTGACACTCCTATTGAGCTAAACCATAAAATAAGTGCAGAAAGTGGAGAACTTCTTGAGGACAGGGCTATGTACCAAAGGCTAGTTGGGAAACTTCTTTATCTCTGCCTAACTCGGCCAGATATTTCTTATGCTGTCAGTGTTGCTAGTTAATACATGCATACTACTAGGACCACCCACCCCCTTGCAGTAGAAAGGATTCTTGCCTACTTAAAGAGGTGTCCAGGGAGAGGTATACTCTTCAAGAATAATGGTCACATGAAAATAGAAGTGTATACAGATGTGGATTGGGTTGGATGTGTTGATGACAGGAGGTCCACCTCTGGATATTGTGCATTTGTGGGGGGAAAATCTTGTTTCCTGGAGAAGCAAGAAACAAAATGTTGTTTCTCGCTCTAGTGCAGAAGCAAAATACAGATCCATGGCCAATGGTGTTGCAGAAGTGTTATAGCTGAGATCCTTGCTTAATGAGTTGGAAATTGATTATGATAAGCCTCTGATGCTGTATTGCGGTAATCAAGCTGCAGTTAATATTGCCCACAACCCAATTCAGCATGACAGGACTAAGCATATCGAGGTTGACAGGCATTTTAACCGAGAGCGAGTCGTATCTCAAGAAGTATGCTTTCCTTACATTGCCTCAGACATGCAGTTAGCTGATCTTTTCACCAAAGTAGTCACAAAAATCAAATTGGAGACAGATTTACGCAAGTTGGGCATGACAAATATCTACTCTCAACTTGAGGGGGAGTGTAGAAATAGTTAGTAAGGCACGAGTGTGGGGTTCCATACCCACACTTAGGCTCTAGTATGTGTGGTTCCATGCTCACATCTAGTTGTTTTTAATTCCTTTTAAAATTGGGTCGGATGGCCTTATCCTTGTCCATATTTTGTTTATCCTTTTTATGTTTTGTTTTATTATTAGGACTAGGATTGTTTGTTTTATCTCCTATTCTTGTAAGGAACCAAAACTATAAATAATAAAGTGTATGGGGTGGCAGATGTCATCAACCGAACCCCTTTCTTCTCTCTTCTCCTTTCTTCCCTTCTCTTCTTCTTCTTCTCCTCTACTCTTCTTTTCTTTTCTTCTCTTTTATGAATTACAGTAGAACGGAAATCTACTTGCTTTATTCAAGTGAAGTGAAAGAAGCTGCCTTAACATCCATAAGGTTTAACAGTATCTTCTGTGTGTGTGTGTGCGCGTGCACGCGCATGTTGGGGGTGTCATCATGGGATATAGACACAATTTTGAGGTTCAGAATCTGAAAAAGTATTTTCATGGACAGCAAGCAATATATAGGAAGCCAAATAGAGTGTAATACAGGGGTAGTTGCTTGACGCAGTGGTAAAATCTTGGGTTGATAAGCATGAGATTTAAATCCCAAAAGAAGCCACTTTGTGCTAAAAAAATGCCAGGTTAGGTATGTATCCAGTCTACCCCTCCCAAGACCCCAGATAGCCAGGACCATCATTGGGTAATGCCCCACAATAGAGTGTAACAGTTGATAGATGATCATTAAAAAAACACCTTCTTCCTTGAGACAACTTTTCTCAAATTTGACAAGGAACAACAGAAGACAATAATTTTGATAGAAGTTTTTCTTCATCCAAGATTCACCAAAACAATCAGAAAATGCTTACCTGCTTTCAGGATGGCCTGCAACATATTTTAGTCTCTGCAATATAATACGACACTGATGCTTGTTTACAGAGTCAGCAAGGCCATTATTTCTAAAATCTTCCAGCTCTTTAGTCAACATCTGCCCAGCCTTAGGGTGACATGATCCCAAATGCTGAGCACATTGAAGAACTGCCTGCACATCCTGGAGCCTATTTGAAGTGGTCGCAGATGAATCTACATTGAACAATACTTTGTGGATATTGGATATGATGATGTTCAATGGATCCTCAGGATCATCAGCCATAAGTGGATCTAGACCATCTAGATTGATATGTTCTCCAACAGCCCATATAAGGCGGGCAGATATTCTCGGGGTGTTTATCTGACAACAAAGAAGCTTTGAAATTGTTACTCAAGCAGAAAACACCACATGGAATGAGATGTAGATGCACTGGAAGTAAACTAGAAAAAGGAAAAACTAGCAGAGAAACACATTAGAACAAGAAACATACTTAAAAATGTTAAATAACAACAGGGAAAGAGGGTATTTCCAGTATGACATTATAGATTAAGTACAACATGAAAGCCATAGGCTGCTAAGTTTTGGGTATTGGTAGGATTTGATCATTATTTTAACTAAGAATTGCATCATTTTGACCAGTAACTACGAATTGCATTTCATGTTATACCAGAAGCCAAAAAAAAGTAACATCAAGATAAAAAAAAAAAAGAAAAGAAAAAAGAATATATAGGAACCTTATTTAACTAAGAATTGGTAGAATGCCATTATAGATTAAGTACAACAATGAAAGCCATATGCTACTAAGTTTTGGACATTGGTAGGATTTGACTATTATTTAACTAAGAATTGCATCATTTTGACCAGTAACTAAGAATTACATTTCATGCTATACCAGAAGCCAAAACAACAAAAAAAGTAACATCAAGATAAAAAAGAAAAAAAAAAGAATATATAGGAACAAGAAAAACAACGAAAAGCCACAATTGGAAGTAGACCTAAAAACCGCATCATAATACAAGCAATTACCAATTTTAACATTCTATGCTCTTTTCTTTTTAATGACTAATAAATGGAATTTGTTAGACACAATGAATAGAACTGTGTACATGGTATAGGGAGTGCAATTGCATCTATGGAAAAACGGTAAACCAACTTATACCCTTCTTCACAAAATGGACCCATAGACCCTAGCAACAAAAAGGTAGTACGCTTCCTAAAATCCTTTCAGAGATCCTTCTGCAGTATTCATTTTAGTTTCTCTCTCTGAGGGAATTAAGAAGCAGTCTAGTCACGTGATCATTCATATTGAAGTTCAACCTTAGTAATATGACCAACAAAACCTTTTAAAACAAATTCTACTGCACTGAATGAAACCTGAAGAGGTAAAAGTTACAAAGTCAAAGCATGAAATCAAATTGTTAAACAAGGTACAATAATTGCACTAGTGGAAAGGAGTACTTTGTTGCAAATTGAAGGTTTTAAAGAACAAACAGAAATCTGAGAGGACATTAAGGTAATAAGAAAATGTCTGACAACCCTTCAATTCAGCATGTAGCCCTGAACAGAATGGACCAAGATAACAGGAGATGTTATAGAGACAAATAGTTAGGCAAAGGCTCTCATGATGCCAAAGATAATAATGGCATTGATCATGGTAGTGATTAAGATGGTTTGATCACGTGCATAGAACACCATAGATAGCACCTGTAAGAAGAAGTGATATGTTGCAAGTTGAAGGGACTGGAAGGGCCAGGGGTAGACCAAAAAGGGACATGGGTCCAAGTAGTAAGAAATGATTTAGGTGCTCATAATTTAACAATGGACATGGCATTAAATAAAAAGAAATGGTGAAACAAGATTCATGTAGCCAACCCCATATAGTTGGGATAAGGCTTGGATGATGATGATGATAGTTGTGGTAGTGACTGTACTCAAAAGACTAAAGTAGATGAGTTAATGACCTTTTGTTCCTGAACTTCTTATCTGTTACTCGTTCAAAAAAAAGGTAAGAAAGAATACTTTAGGTCGTAATCAAGATAACAACTGATGTAGTCTATCAAAAAAAAGATAGCAACTGATATATTAAGCATCATGAGCTCATCGATTAGATAAAAAATCATTTAATTATTTATTTATTTCTTTTAATCCATTATGGTAGTACAGATGAGATGTACAATCTGGAAAACCAATGATTATATCCATCCTACCTCCCAACTAACTACACACGAACATCATAGAAAATATTTATGCATTATAAGCAGTAAAAAATCAAATAATCTAGTGAACATGTCTGAGCAACAGTAAAGCAACTTTTCAATGTTCAGTTTCCTTGATATAGGATGCGGTTTCAGTTTTCTTCAAAGAAACAGAATGAGATATGCTAGGAAGAACCCAAGAACAGTATTTAAAAATCTAAAAGAATTACTAATGAACCTGACGCAAATCTTTAACAAGCTCGTGCTGCAATTTTTGTAGTCTCGTCTCATTTAGAATCTGATCCTGAGAAGCACCATCTTTAACCCTTTTAATACCTCCTCTAGTATCATAGATATGACACAATCTCACCAACAACTTTAGATAACAATCAATAGAATAGGTTCGTCCTTCGCAGTCCCATTTAACACAAGGCCTACAAACTTCCACCACTTCCAGTGCTGGCTCAGTCCAATTCAATGCTCCATAGCCAGTTCCATAGGCCAAAGCTCCAATTACTCTGCTTTCTGTACCAGAATTCTTTTGCTCAGGGAGAGGAAGAGATAATTGGAAACAACTTTCCACTAGTGAAGCAACTAGCTCTTCTCTGAACAAGCTTTTACTCGTCACACAGTTTAGGTCATCTTTAATTGTCACATCTTCAAAAAGTGAAGCAATATCAGTACCACGAAGGGGTTTTTGCCCTCTTCGGACACTCTCCTTTGCAAAAAGATCAACACATAAGGCTGTGCGACATATACATGCTAGAGCATGCATACGGTCTGACTCTGCCCTCAGGTTCCTGACCATAAGAAGCAACCTTTTGAACAATGAAACCTAAAAGCATAACAGATATGAATATGATATTAGGATACAGCTATGTCTCCAAGCATCAATTAATGGAAATTAACGCGACAAGAACAAACCAACTTTAACAATTACAGCAAAGAAGTTTTCAACAGTGGTGGACAAATTGTGTAATACAACTTGGTAAGTGCTAAGAAGTGACAACATTAAAAGGACATTACCCAATGTTGGTCCCAGCTATCCAGGGTCTTGGGAAGGGTCAAATGGATATGGACATAACCTTCAGCGTTTTGAAGAAGTAACAACATTATTTTTTTTTCTTATTTATTTCCACTTCTTTTTCTTGGACAATGATAGGAGTACTGATTAGAAGATGAGATTACAAAGCAGTGAGTTTTAAAGCATCCCAACAAAGAAACAACCAACAAGGAGTGCAAGTACACAAAAAAAAATGAAGCTAGTTAACAAACTCACCTACATAAATATAGATTAGATAACTGATAGAAAATACTGTTTGGATAGGAGGGTAAAAGCATAATTAATAAACAGACACTGAACTATAACAGCTAATAGATAGTTGGTTAAATTTCAATTAATTGAAAGCCAAAAAATTAATCAACAAGTGCCTGTTCTTCAAAGGTAATGCTGAAAAACAATAAGTATTGATCATTATAGAACTGAGCCTATTCTAAGAGTTCTGGTTCACCGTAAAAGATGAGCCCAATCAACAGGTATATGAAGTACATCAGTCATAGTTTAACCTCAATAGTTATAGAACTGAGCCCCGATTGTTGAGCATGTTTTACAGTCAGTCCAAAGCTCTGATGAAGGATAAGGGAATAAGGGTTGCCTCCAGTTGACAGCTAAAACAGAACCTTTGCTAAATCCTTACGAGCACCTTGAAAGGCAATAAACTTCAGGAAAAAAGGTAACAACCTTAGAAAAATAAGACTGCTTTTCATATTATCTATTGGATTCTTAATAGATACAGTATAGATGAGGCCATTACAATGGCCATAAATCTGAAGCATACAAAAAATCCTACAGGATAACTATGACAGAAAATAGAGATCAACATATAAAGAAATAGTTAATAATAAAAAAAGCAGTTACAGCAACAACAATATTAATGTTTTGAATTCATCATGAAGGCCAACATTTTCCCTTAGAGAAAGTAAAAGGATCAAAATGCAGTCATATGCCAGTTTGCAAATGTCAACAATGTTATAGAAAAACTTTAATAGGTTTGTGGAGTATTGGAAGAAAATCTAGAAATTAGGATATAAAACCTGCTGGCTTTGCAGAAGCATGGTCTTTTGAGAACATAAATTAGTTAGGCCGTGAATAAAACCAAAATACTGATTATATTTTTTTGATCAATAACAGAAACTTTCATTTAACTAATTAAAGTAAAAAGAGTACAAACCAGAGCTGGAAAACAATATCCACCCACCCTTTAACTTTACAATCAGACGCCTATTTAGCTATTCTCTGCCCTTGTAATAGCACCATTACTTCATCTTTTAAAAAGTCTCCAATACCAATCGGACTTGAGTGCATTTCCACTACCATGCCTTTAGCATCCTTAAATACACCCCAAATCCCTGACAGGCCTGGATTGCCTGAAGAGCTTCTATCAAAATTCAACTACACTCTATTATTTGACGGAAGCTTCCACTCCAAGTATACCTTGTCTTTAATTGTTGAAGAGCTTGCCACCACCCCAAGCTCTTATAATGTCACCCACCAAGAAATCTTTGAACGTCTCTATTGTTTTCACCCAATGAGCAAACCTTCACTTTTATGCTTTCCACTAAGTCCATTTCAGATTTGTATTTCTCTTTAAAAATTCTCTATTTCTTTCTTCCCATATAGCCCAAATTATGGCTGCTCTAGCTGCCCTCCACACGATTCTTCCTCTCTGTTTAGGTTGTCTAAGGAAATTGGGGCTAAACAAGCTTGCCACATCTTGAGCCAGGTCCCACCTGCAACCAATGAGAGATTAAAAGCACAACCAAACTATTATTCACAAAAATAGGATATTAGTAAATCAGCAATGGTCTCACCACTTGCTTTGCAAAGAATGAAGATGCGAGGAGAAACACTTTTTTTTTTTGACAAAAGGAGAAAGGCATTTGTTGGGCCTTCATTTTTGGAGCATGTCATAGGTATTAATCTTACCAAGTAACGTCTCCCAACAAAAGGCCTAGATCCTAGGTGGGACAGATCTGCTCCAGATATCTTTCGCCAAGAATGTCTCCCCCAAACTGTTGGATTGAATAAGAGTATTGGAAAAAGAGACACAAGAAAATAGCTCCGTAGGAGAGATTGACCAAACCCTACTGTCTTCAATATGGGGATCAAAGAAGACTACACCAAATTTAACCAACAAATCTATCATAGAGTCACATTCCCTTTCCCTTAAGCCCCTTCTAAAACCCAAGTCCCAATCCATCCTAGAGACCAGAGACAGACCAGAATTACTTGTAGGCTCCCCTCTTTTATTACCAAAAAAAAAACATGGAGTAAATCAATAGAAACTGATCTTTGAGTGGAGAGTTGCCTAACCAGAGATCCTCTAGAAGAGGACCCTATTACTACAACCTGCATTATACCTAATGAAGCTCAAGAAAGTAGGAAGAACCTCATGTATAGATTTCCAAGGAGAAGCTGAAGGCATACTCTGAGAAGCCATTGCATCCCAGCCATTGTCCACAGCACTCACTGTGAATTCTTACATTGACTTTATGCCATAGTCCATCCCTTTGTAGGGGCAATCACCAGTGCCACTTGCTAAGCAAAGCAATATTCCTATGAACCAAGTTTTCTATTCCCAAACCTCCCTGTTTCTTCTTTTATAAGTTTCCTAGACCCCCCACCCCGATTCTTTAGACTTACACACAAAATTCCATTTTATCAAATGATCCTTCCCATCATCACCCAGTTCCCACATAAACTTCTCTATTTTCCTTGCCATCTTTATCGAAAGGTGGAAAGGAAGTAGATGGGAAGGTTGGCCATTATAGGTTTGATTAGAGTAATCCCCCCACAATGAAATATAGTTCCGTTTCCACAATGCCAATTTTTAAGAGAATTATTCCAACACTGATATCCAAAATCCTTCCGTTCTTGCAATTCCCCCCAGGGGAAGCCCAAGATACTCCATTGGCCATGTCTTGGTTTCACATTCCAAGATGTTTTCTGAAATACCATTGTACTTTGTGTCTTAATGTTATTTGTTTCAGTTTAATTGTATCATTTTTCTAATCGGTAGTTCAATCATATCAGTTTATTCCTTAGTCACAATAAGAGGAGCTCACAATTCTTCCATCATTCAAAGTTTTTGTAACTATTATTGCATTGAATAGAACCAACTTGCAGGTCATTATCTAAAGTTTATATAGTTACTCGTGGTATAAAATTTGAGGTCCAAAGTAGTCTTGGGTAATCAAGCAAACAATCACTTGAGAAGACAATTTGATGGGATGGAAACCTGCATATGAAGATCCAGGAGGTGTAGATTTGTTACAACAGCTCTAACGATGCTTTCTCTAGCAGAAGAGAACTCTTGTCTATCCCAAAGAGTGAGAATTGCTATGATTGATGCTGAAGCCCATTCAGGCTTACCTCCAGGCACATCAGCTAGACGCAACATATTAATTGCCACCTCAAATATCAAGGCTGGATCCAGTGACGCCAAGAATGGCACCAGATGCGTAACCACATCTGAAACTCCTACAACCTTCTCCGCATTACCCAAATCCTTCATATTCGCGCTACTACTAGCATTTCCAGAAGATTTGGAGAGCTTCTGAAAAACATCAACTGCACCAGATGCCACAGCCTTCACTGCATAAACAAGTGGAAACACAGTAACCCTAAAGCTCTCAATTGGAAGAATCAAAGACCTCGCCATCAAGGCATGCCTCTTCTTCCAGATAAAATCAACCATCCAGGAGATCCAATTAGAACGGATGGCAAGCGAATTCTCACTATCAACAAGTTTATCCCCAGCTAAACGGCTCATTCTTTTTGAATCAAACTCCTGAAACAACCTCCCAACAGACTCAAACGCAACCTTTGAAACTGCGTCGGATCGGTCATGCATATTCTTCCCAATCCTTCTCCACCAATTTGAGACCCCATCCAGCAAATTGACATTGTTCTCGCAGAGAATAACAAGATCATCCCGTGCTAGAATGCACCCCAGTGTTTCGGTAATCGAGTAGCGGAGATTGTCACTGGGAGAATCAAAGCAATTCGATATCTCCCTGTTGCAGTCTGATATGAGCTTACCAAGACGATGAGATGGTATTGCAGAGAGAATGGAGACAGCGGCAGAAGTGACATCAGGGTCGGGGAAGTCGAAATCTGTTCGGATGCCAGTGCACACAGTTTCCCATAAATCGGAGGTGAGTCGTGTCGATCGGATGAGATCGAAAGCTAGCTTCTTGCAGACGGCAGAGGCCGGAGACGCGACGATCTCTTCACAGGCAGATTTGGCAATGACGGAAATATCTCTACCGGCTGCGGACTGTTGGAGAGCTTGAAGAAGAGCACCGCACTGGCGGAGAGAGTCATTCGAGCGGAGATCAGCTTGGATTTGGGCGAAGAGAATATCCATTTATGGAATTGACAGAGTCACAGTAATAAGATTCTTGCGCGCTGCACTAATGCTGAGGAGTACAGATGGACACTAGATTGCACAAAACCTAGTCGGGTATATACATTTTTTTTTGAATGGGAGGGTATATACATTAGGTTTTTTTTTATTTTTTAAGATTCTGATCGATAGATACATCCCCAAATTGACGCCATTATTTATGTTCTTCTAAGAGTCTGAGTTCTACAGTGTTACATTCTCATGAGAGATAAGACGAACAATATCAGATTATATTTATACCTTTCGCTTATTGGGACGTGTTTTGTATTTTCCGATCGCGGGTTCGGCGCGGCCGCGCGGTTAAGCGCGCGCAGAGGATGCTCGTCGATCCGTAATTCGGGTAATCCACCGGTTCAAACCGAACCGTTGAAGTTGATGTCATATCTCATTCTCATAAATTCATAATTAAACTTTTAAAATTACAAGAGAAATTTCATCGTAATTAAATTTGAAATAAAATAATATTAAAATTTAAAAAAATAGTATTATCTCGTTATAAAAATAAAATTATCATTAGTCTTTAACCATTCCCCAGGGCTTTGTTTGGTTCATAAAAATAGTGGTTTGGAATGAAATGGCCCATTCCGATTCAACTTTTTGGTTGGATGGAATTGGACTTCAATTTCTATTCATGGCAGAATAGCATTCTCACAGTTGAGCGAATGGCAATTCCCTTCCCCTTAGGAATGAGAATCCCATTCTAATTTATTAATTTACTAATTCTCATTTCAACCAAACAGATGTGGTAATAGACCATTCTGAATTCTGATTCAGATGGATTTCAATTTCGATTCTCATTCCCATTTTGACTGAAAACCAAGCCGACCCTTTTGGTTTATTGATTTATTTATTTAAATTGGATTTCTTCGATAAAAATTACTTGAATAACAAGCTGAACTGTGCACTATATAACCC